AAACAGATAAGAGAAAGGAGAGAAGTGCAACTGCATCCCTGCCTAGCACCTCTCTACATCCTCAGGTGGACCAATAATTCAAGCAGATTGGAATTCAGTCCAATCTCTAACAGCCTGCTTCAATATACAAAGTTCAGAGAGTTGTTGTTTCTGAAAGATCCAAAGGTTGCGGCTTTTCCACAGCCACCATAGAATGTATGTTGACAATTGTATTCTGTCTTCATTAATGGCTCTATGGTTGAGGCTGCAGATGTTCCACCACCAGTCTGCAAAGGTAAGTGAAGAAGAGGGTAAAGACTCCCATTGGATTGGTGCTAATCTCCAGACCTTTTGAGCTTTACTGCATTGCAGAAGAATATGGTCTATGGTTTCAACATCTTCTCCTCACACAGCACAAATAGGATCAATCTGGACACCTTTCTTAATCAAATTTGTGGAAACAGGCAAAGCCTTTGAGAAGCATCTCCAGATGAAATGCTTAAGCTTTCCACTGACCTTGAGTCTCCAAGTTCTCTCCCTGACTTTAATGTCCCTAACACCAAAGTTGCTGCTTTCAGGGTAGTCCAGTAGCTATAATTTGATGGAAGAGAGGTAAGAGTAAGCTGAAGCTACTGTGAAAGATCCCTGTTTTGCTTTGTGCCATAACCAACCATCAGATTTTTCAGGATTGAGGCTATTCAACTTCAAAATGGCAGCTGCAACATCTCTATCAAACAGAGCATGTATCAGATCAGAGTTCAAATGTTTCCCATCAGTGGTTAGTTCAGTAACAAAGGTGCATTCTGAATGTATTCCCTCCTTAAAAGAAATTTTCCTGTTATCAAGGGATTTAATCCATGGATATCCCAGAATAGGGGTATTTAAACCACTGTGCAGATTGACTATTAGATTAAGATCAAACTTTTTCTTAACCACCATCCAGCAATTCCACACCCATGACCCACATGTTCTGCTTTTAGCTTCAAAGAAAGAAGTTGTGGGGTAGTACCTTGCTTTTAAAACTTTGTCAACCAGAGAGTCAGGATTAGAGACAAGCCTCCAGAGTTGCTTCATGATCATTGCCTCATTAAATAATTGGATATCTTGGAAGCCAAGATCTCCCATCTCCTTAGCAGTTGTAATTTTTTGCCAAGCAACCCAAGGAATGCCAGAGTCTTGATTAAGACCCTTGCTCCACCAAAATTGAGCACAAATTCTAGCAACATCTTTACAGATAGCAACAAGAAGCTTGAAGCAACTCATAACAAAAACTGTTAAAGCATTAAGCACAGCTTTGATTAGAGTTTCTTTACCAGCAGGTGTTAGATACTTGTTTTTCCAGCTTTGGATTCTGCCTCTGACAGCTTCAGTGACATAAGAGAAAGTTTGGATCTTGGATTGCCCAATCCCTAAAGGGAGGCCCAGGTATTTAGTGGAGCTTTGAGCAGTAATGTTGTTCAAGACAGAGCAGATACTCCCCTTCACCTGAGGCTGAGTGTTTTTGCTAAAAAAGATTGAGGACTTACTCCAATTGACTTTCTGACCCGAGAATGCTTGGTACTTGTCAAGAATATCCATGAGTTGGAATGCCTGATTACAGTCCGCTTTGCAGAAAATAAGAGTATCATCTGCAAATAGCAGATGGGTGAGTGTAGGGCCTCCTTTAGAGATTCTGAGACCTGTCAAACCACCCAGCCCATTATCAGATAGCAAAAGAGAGGAGAAAACTTCAGCAACAATTATAAAGAGGTAGGGGGACAGAGGGTCCCCCTGTCTGATACCTCTGGAAGGTTCAACAAATCCTGTGACATTGCCATTAATGTTGAAAGAATAAGTAGGGGTAGTAATACATCCCATGACCCAGTTGACAAATGTAGGGTGAAATCCCATTTTACTCATAACTTTTTTCACACTTCCCCATTCTAATCTGTCAAAGGCCTTAAGTAGGTCCAGCTTGATAGCCATGAAGCAATTTTTACCTGACCTATGCCTGTTGAGGAAATGGAAAACCTCCTGGGCAATCACCACATTATCCATGAGAAGTCTGCCTGGGATAAAAGCAGTCTGAGAGTTTGAGATGCAAGAGTGCAAGCAGGGTTTAATTCTGTTGGCCAATATCTTGGAGATTAACTTGTAAACCACACCACAAAGGCTTATAGGCCTGAAATTGCTTAAAGATGTGGGATGAAGACATTTGGGGATTAGGGTCACCACAGTGTGGTTCCAATGCCTGAGCATTCTTCCAGATTGGAAGAAGCTTTTAATTGCAGCACAAATGTCATCTTTAAGGACCTGCCAGAAGTACTGATAGAACAGACAAGTCATCCCATCTTCACCGGGAGATTTTTCAGGGCTCATACTTAAGAGGACTTCACAAATTTCATCTTCATGGACCTCAGAAATGAGGTCTAAATTCTGCTGGTCAGAGATGGAAGTGGGGATAAGATTCAGAAAATCAGCAGTACAAGATGAGCCTTCTGAAGTATATAGCCTGTCATAGAAATGGCAAACACAATTCTGTATCTCTTGAGGTGATTCATAAACTCTGCCAGCCTCATCTACAAGTCTAGAAATTGCATTAAGTTTCCTTCTGTGGGAAGTGAATGCATGAAAGAACTTCGTGTTCTTGTCTCCTTCTTTGAGCCATAATTGCCTTGATTTCTGTCTCCAGAAAGATTCTTCTTCAAGATAGGCTTTGTTAAGCTGGGATGCAATGGAGTGCCAGGTGTCCCAGTCTTTATCACCATCAGCTGCTCTGATAGATTCCATGGCTGCATTGAGGGATTTGATCTTCATCTGGTTTTCAGAGTTGTGGGACTTGCTCCAAACCAAGAGAGCCTTCCTAGTAGCCTTAATCTTTTCTTTCACTTGAAACATTGGAGTTCCCTCCATTGGGTGAGCCCAAGCTTCTTCCACAATTTGTTGCACTCCATCTTTAGATAGCCACCTTTTGTCAAATTTAAATCTGCTCTTAATCTTCACAGAATGGGGGTCAGAGTTGATGATCAACATGCTATGGTCCGAGGAGCTTCTGAAGATGTTTTCTACAAAAGAGTGGGGATGAGAAGAGAGCCAATCTAAGGAGCAAAAAGCTCTGTCAAGTTTTTCTTCCACCAGCCCTTCATTGACTCTATTATTAGCCCAAGTATACTTGTAGCCTTTCCAGTTGATCTCACTCATACCCATATCATGAATAAAGGAGTTGAAACCAGAACAGCCTGAAGGTTTCTAAGAGTACCACCATGTTTCTCATCACTTGAACAAAGATCATTCCAGTTAGGGGTGTTCACGGTCCGGTTTTAACCAGAAAAAACCGTCAATCCGGACCGCGGATCGGTTAAATGGTCGGTTAAAAAAGCCTTAAAAAATCCGGTGGTTAATTTTTTTAAAAATCCGAAATAACCAGTCCGGTTAACGGATTACATGCGGCAAACCGTCGGTTTAACCGGACCGGACCGGTAAATGTTAAAAAACTATAACAAATATATATATACATTCAGTCATTCACTATGATCGACAAATACAATAAATTCACTATCATTTTTTGGCTTTTTTGCATAATTTAATCTTCATCATTTTTATATTTTTATGTTTACAGGACGAAATGTGTATTTTTATGCTTATAGGACGAATTGTATATTTTTTATTTCATTATTGTTATTTTTCCTAATTTTTAGGCCCAAATAATCTTTTTTGGGCTCAAAATTGAAAAATGAAAATTAAGCCCAAAATGAAAAAAATAAAATTGAAGGCCCAAAACAAGTATTTTGGATTTAACCGGTTAACCGCCAAACCGGACCGTCCAATGCGGTTCGGATTGTGGTCGGTTAAAAAATAAAACCGGTCCGGTTATGGACAAGAAAAAAAATTAACCGTTAGGTCCGGTTTGGTCATGGTTTGGGCTAAAACCAGACCAATCCGGACCGTGAACACCCCTAATTCCAGTCACCTGCACAAAACCAATGAGACCCCCAATTCCTCTGCATATCCAAGAGCTGAGCCCACTGGGATTCTCTAACACTCTTAATAGAGCTCATATAAACCAAAATAAGCCAGGTGCTTCTCTGATCTTGCTGAGTAGTAAATTCAACTTCAATGCAAAAGTCATGACATAAAATTTGGATAATATTCACATCAAGATTCCAAAACAGGAGCAGACCACCAGAGAGCCCAATAGGATTAACTGACTTCCATCAATCTTCACATTTAAGGCTAAGACAAACAGTATTTAAAAAATCTTATCAAATCTTAAATAGTCTTAACAAATTTTAATCTAAAAATTTTGTAACACCTTTTTTAAATCCTAATTGAACACCAAAATTGAACACCAAAAGACTTCTAAAAGGCTAAAAAATTTAAAAAAAATCTAAATTAAATACAATTCTAAAGTATTTAAAAGTCCTTGTAAATTCTAATTGAATACACGTTCAAAATTTTCATCATCAAGCCCTAAATTCAAAACGAATTTCAGTAAACCCTAGCCGCTCGAGCTTGTTCCTCCGACCTCCGACGGTAAGATCGTGCTAATTCTGGTGGGAAAAGGAAATGGCGGAGCACTTGGCGTCGATATTCGGGACGGAGAAGGACAGGGTCAATTGCCCGTTCTATTTCAAGATCGGTGCGTGCAGGCACGGCGACCGGTGCGCGCGCCTCCACACGAAGCCCAGCATCAGCCCCACGCTCCTGCTCTCCAACATGTACCAGCGCCCAGACATGGTCACCCCTGGCGTCGACCCTCAAGGCCAACCCCTCGATCCTAAAAAGACCCAATCTCATTTTGAGGTTTTACTCGCGGCCCATTCAATTATACTTGTGTTGTTAGATTCGTGCATATGATATAATCTTGCTAGATGTGCCTTTTACAATCCCGTTTGATTTGTGTTCTTTTCTCTCTTTGGGATGTTCTGTGCTATTTTGGGCCAATGACAGGGATTTTTGTTCTCCGTGGTTCGTTTGGCTTCAATCACCGCCGAATAAAAAAGAGTGTAATTTTTGGCATCTAGATTTTCATTGGGGATTGACACTGTGTAATGATAATAATTTCATGTGAGCTTGTTATTTATTTGAGGGGCACTATAGTTGAAGGAATTGAGGTGTGGTTTTTTTTTTTTTTTTTTTTTTTTTTTTTGAAACACGTTTATTTTCTTTGATAGTTTTTCTACGAAGATTTGTTTCGGGAGCTAAGCAAGTATGGGGACATTCAAAGCCTCAACATCTGTGATAATCTGGCAGACCACATGGTGGGTAATGTCTACATCCAGTTTAGGGAGGAAGATCAAGCACAAACTGCTCTTCAGAGTCTCATGGGGAGGATTTATGACGGTTCGTGCTTCTCCTTTTAAGTTATTCTTATTGAGTTGTTTGAACATAAGTTAGTGCATTTGGGTAGTAACTCCTTTTAAGTTATTCTGGTTGAGTTGTTTGAACATAAGTTAGTGCATTTGGGTAGTAACTAGTAACTGATCCTGGTCTTTTCTTATGGGTTCAGAGTTTGTTCATCTGCTTTTTAATTGGTACTTAGTTATGACATAATTTCTGGGTGGTAGACATTAACACATTAATATTCAACACCTACTCATTTATCTTCCGCGTGATTATAAATAGAATAATGATAGACTTCCCAACCAATTTTATCAAAGATTAGCTAGTAGCTGTGTGAACGAATCAGAACTTTAACTTTCTGCTTGCAATCCTGACATGTCTGCTCTGAAATCATAATCAAGGTTGTAGTAACACATCAATATGATCATCAAGATCTATTGAAATAAAGAGCACATATTGAGAATATTCAAATCGTCATCCGTTTCTAGTCTGATTTAACTAAGAATTGTGTCCCTACTATTTTTACTGACTTATGAATTGCTACCCTGAACCATTCAGGCCGGCCAATAATTGCTGACTTCTCTCCCGTGACGGACTTCCGTGAGGCCACGTGTAGGCAATACGAAGAAAACGTATGCAATCGGGGTGGATACTGTAACTTCATGCATCTTAAAAAGATAGGCAGGTTCGTTTTTGGTAATAATGAGTTTTAGTTGTTTACTTAAAATAAAATAGTAAAGAAAAGATCACAACCTATCATTTGTGACTACAATTCATTTAACTTTTTGGTTCTGAAGAGAGCTGAGACAGCAACTATTCCGGAAAAGGAGAAGCAGGCATGACCGCAGTAGAAGCAGAAGTCGTAGTCCACGTCTTCGTAATTATGAAGGCAGACATGGGTCGAGTAGGAGGGGTGAGCATGGTGGTCACCATGACAGGAGTAGAAAAGCCCGTAGCCGAAGTCCATCCCGAAGGAGAAACCGGAGCCCCATTAGAGAAAGTAGTGTCGAGAGAAGGGCGAAAATTGAGCAGTGGAACAGGGAAAGGGAGGAGGGAGAACCGGACAGAGATCGTCATAATGGAAAAAAGGATGATGGCAACTCCAAGGAGGATAAGCGAGATTTGTCCGAGAATGGGAATGAAAGCTATAACGTTTGAAGCGCGTAGGATTTCATGGTTTGTAGCAGTTTCTTGATCCGGTTATTTCTTCATCATTTCTTCCCTTTTCGGCCCTCTAAATAAATAGGTCATGTTTTAGGTGGGATAGCAAATATGATGCAGGCGTTTAACTCAAAATATTTTCTAACAGATAACCTTAATATGCTTGAAAGATTCTGTTAAATTATGGAAAAACAGATAACATACAGGGTCTGGTTTGTGAATCCCTTAGGAGTTTGTTAGAAAACAAAGTTGCTGCCCTGAGTTTCCTGTGACCTTTCTTTTTTCACTATAATGGCATGGTGGACTTCTTAAATGCTCTTGTGTTTTGTGGTATTTCTTCAAAAAGCATTCTCTCATTCTCATTTCATTAAGACCCATAGGGTTGTGATATTCAGTGAGCTGTTTTTACACTTACGCACGTACACAAACCGAAAAGTGCAGCCATTTGATTGTCATATTCTCTTGCATCAGAAACCAAAGCATATAAAAATTGTAACCAGGTAAGCCCTTCTCCTTTCCTGAACCCAACCACATAGTGTGAGCTGAAATCATTCTTACATCATTTCTTTCTTTATTTCGTTATTTTGTTTATTGTTGTTGAATCCTTTAATGCACCCTCTTAAAGTTTTGCAGGTTCAGGTACACCTGCCAGGGCATGCCCTTTATAGTGGCTTATATTGATATTTGTATACAGGTTAGCACACTGTCTTTTGCAGAAAAAGATTGCAGGAATTTATACAATTGGAGCCTAAGGTATGAGCGATGCTTCTGGTTTTCTTCCGACATGAAAGTGACCCCATAATTTACAGCAATGGCTTACAGCCACATTTATAGTACTCTGTTTCTCGGCACCTATTCCAATTCCCAAGTTGTGTGATTTTAGACTTTGTTTTTTTTCATTGTGTTGCAAGAATTTCAGTCTTTGTTAGGTGAACTATAAATGCTGACATTTATAAAAGTGTTCTTAGTATGTTCAAGGAATGCGTATCTATGGAATGCTTGCTTTTTTTTTTTTGTGAAATACGTCAAAGTTCGCCTAATTACCTAAATTGAGATGCGGACAACTTGCATGTTTTCTTGTAGCCTCACCTTTATCAAACGTATTTATCAACCAACATAAAAGAATTTGGACTTGAGTGCACAATACTAGGCATGCCTTTGTCCATCACATGTAGTTCTTGTTTGACATTTAACGGATAACTGATTGAATTAGCTCGTAGCAGATAGCTAATTGAATTAGCAACTTTGTCTAGCTGATTGTATTAACTAATTATGCGAAGTGTTTAGTAAATAATTAGTTGTTTGATGTGTAAAAACAACTAATCTTACAATCCTCTATTTCAAAAGCTCATATATTGCCTATTTAATTGTGTGACCTAAAAGTGAAGTTTAGTATCTCTGTATCTCTATATGATTGAATCTCACAGTAGTTCAGAAAATTCTTCTAACTGGTGACTGCTCAAACGAGCCCTGTGGTTCGGCTTTGGTTTTCTAGCTTTTACTGTACGTAGAATATGCATCGCCCTATACATTTTGCTGCGAATGGCATACAATTTGATTGACGGTATGTTTCTGGTTTATCGAATGCAAACATGTTTTTCTTAAAAGAATTTTTGTGTGTGTGTGTGTGTGTGTGTTTGTGTGAGGATTGATCTCCAAATTTGTTTCATATGGAGGGATTCTGACTTGAACAATACACTATCATCTCATAATTTGGTGCAACTGGTAAATTAAACCAAATCTGGTTGGTTCTTAAAATTGTTCAATCCCTCATAAAAGTATAAATAAATGTAACTTTTGGAATATGTTAAATTAGCCAAAAAAAAAAAATAATATTAATTTGGCAATTGATAAGACACCTAAGCGTTACTATTTTTTTTTCAACTTACTTTTTCCAATCAATTTTTTTTTTAAAAAAAAAAATGCCATTTCACTATTCAACTATAAACTAAACTTTTTCATTCTCTCATATTTATAGCGTTTTTTGTACCACATAGATTTGTATTAATTTAACCTGCCACAAAAAAAAATCACTAATGAATAATAGGAATAAGCCTGAGTCGGAAGGGTTTGTCCGAAATTCCCAGAACCGTAACAAATTGGTTCGGGTCGGTTTTGGAGATCTTTGTTTTTTTGGTACAGTTTGGTTCGATGATCGGATTATCGGGATGGTTCAATTTGCTTTAATTCGGCTTGGAGCTTTGGAGATTTTTAATTATTTTTCAAATTTTGATATGTTTTTTTAATAAATATTTCATATTCATCACTATCTAAACAGACTAAAGGATTTTTCTTTTCTAAAATCAACTTTAGAAAATATAAAAGTAACTCAAAATTGTAGTTAAGACTAAATTTGTGTAACTAATGATGAAAATTTGAAATTTAAATAAAATATAATATAATTTTTTAAGTGTTTCATTAACTTTCCATGCCATTTTAATTATAAGATGAAATAAGATTAAGAGAAGTATCAACAAATATAATATAAATACTATGTTAATTAATTATATATTAAGTACTATTAAGCATAAACTTTAAGTAAAGTTTAATTGTTATTACTTTAGGTTGTTAAGTATTTTAAAAATGCTAAAATTTTATAGAATTAAAGTTGACATAAAATTTATAAACAAAACATGTTTTGTTATAAGTCGTTACTCAATTTCGGTTCTTTAGCTTGGTACGGCTAAGATGGTTCGGTCTGTTTGGTTCTAAGAAGGTCAAACAGTCCAAACCGTTATTTTTTGGTTCGAATTGAATTCATTTTTTATTACATGTTTCAGAACTCTCTAAGTCTCATGTTCAGCTCTAATGAAAACATATCTAATATCAACATATTTAATCCCACTCCGAGCACCTGGATAAATATCTATCGATTATGTGACAATAACTTAGGAAAATAAAGATAATCTCCTTCTATATCATATATAAATGCAGAATGTTCTGATCCTACATGTTGACTTTTAGTGCTCTAGAATCTTATGTGAATTCTGGTGCTACATGTTGACTTTTGGTGCTTCGTAATCTTATGTGAATTCTGGTGCTTCATAATCTATGTGCCAATTTCTGCAATAGTGTGGATTTAAGTTCTATCCATACCTATTAGAACTTTAAAAATTATAAAACATCAATTTTGTTATGAAGCCAAAAGTTGACTCCATAATGGAGCCAACCATATATATACAACAAGTAAACCATACCATATTCTCTAATTACTTAAATAACACTAATAATTTTGTTAATATGGTTTGATTACTTGCTGTATATTGAAGGTTAGCTCCACTATGGAGCCAACGGTAGACTACATAGCAAAATCGTATAAAACATTTGACTAACTTAAATTATTAATACATTTAAAGGTTAATAACCTTTATATTTGTTATCAGTTTTCATATATAATATATTAAATTAATAATTTTTGAAGAGTTTCAATTTGATATTCCTATTACATATATAAGATAAATAAATATATATTTTTTGTTAATTTCAAAATTAAATCATCTATTATAAAGTTTATATAAATTAAAAATTATAAATTAAAACAGCTATCCCTACGTCACAAATCATACGAGTCATACGTCTTTTTTAAGTATAAATAATAATTTAAGTTTTCT